CTATCTATCGGAGACAAACAGGTTTGGGATGGATTTCTCACCACCTCCCCCAACCCCCACCTCCCGGCACTCCTTTTAATACTGGTTTGAAAGAGAGTGATTTGCAGCCAGGAAATTAGAAACATGACACATTTAATGCAGCCACTTGGGACTAGCCCCAAATGACAAAACAGCTTGAAGCAGTTAAAAGCTTCCGTCAAAGCTCGTAATTTGCTGCCTTTCTCCAATCAAGGGCTTCATTGACAAGGCCAGTTCCACTAATGACCTCTGAAAGAGCTTTTCATTCTGCCCTTCCTTGGCTAATCTGCTTCTCTAACTAGGGTGTCTTAGCAGGAGTTTCAGAAGAGCAGGTGTCACCTGCCCACTCTTTCCAGAAGCAGGACAAACAGATTTATTTTGTTACATCACACAGAGGCTTTGTTGGGCTGACCATTTTCTCTTTTTTTCTCTATGCACATATCCTTATCAGCTGGTGAACATATTGTTTCCCCACCCTGTGAATATATATCTTCTCTCATTCAATCTATTGGAACATAGAAATTAGAAATGTAGAAAAGCTATTAATCCATCATTTCTATCCCATTTCAACATTGTTCCCCAAGGTATCTTTTTCTATTAGATATCACTTTTAGTTCTCTGGGTGCAATTACGACTAGTTCCTTTCCCAGATCAAATTACACTCACACGCACACTCCCCTTCACTGGATGCTTCATTTCAGTAAATTTGATTTCAAAAGGTGTGCTGGAAACAAGGCTGAGGCTGGTTAGCAATTTCATTTTGTTACTCTATATAATTCCTTTTCCGCCTCACTGAAATGCAGTGTCTAGACCAGGGTTTCTCAATCTTAGCAACTTTAAGATGTGTGGACTTCAACTCCCAGAATTCCCCAGCCTGCCTGCAGAACGAAGCATGATATACAGTCCAGTCTCCCTATTGTCCTCTCCTTCTTTCCATCTCTCCATCCTCACAACTGCGTTAGCAAAAGCATTTGTTCAAGTGCTGAAGTATCTAAAATGTATGCCAGCATAAATGGCTCTGCCCTGACATCACATCTCTAGTCTGTGTCAGTGATGAGGCTGGCGACTGGTCCAGGCCTTCCACTTTTAATCTGGGATAATGTAAAGGCAGTGATTCGTAGATTCCCTTGGCTGTGTTTCCTTTTCCATCCAGCATCACCACTGATATGGAAACAAAATTGCTTCCCTTGGTGTGAGGTGGAATGGGCTTGGATCACTACGGTAGCATGCTTGGGATGGAGGTTTTAACCACCTTTCAGATTTCCGGAGTAGTTGGCACCAGCATGGATTCTGCTTCCCCCTGCACTCTTTCTCCACTCCGTTGACCTGTCAGCTGGGCTATTTTGGGACATAGGTGTAGTGCTTTTTCAAATGAACACCATACCACAAGTCACCAGGATGGTGGAAAGGCTGTGAGAAGCAATGGGCAAACTTCCTTCTGCTTCACCCCATGCCTCTCCACTAGGATGTCCCAATATCCTCTCCTACCAAGAATCCTCCTTCTGGGTTGGCTTCTTGTAGTGAGAGATTTGATCATTAGAAAAATCAGTTTGTGACAGATGTGTAGACTTTATGGTGGCTTGCCTGCCTGGTGCAAAGGTTGTGGACATCACAAGTCATCTAGAGTACTGGGGAGGAGACAGTTGTAGTGCACATTGGTACTACTGATACAGGGAAGGTAAATATTTAGGCTACTAGGTAGAATAGCTAAGTCCAGGATCCCCCATGTAGCATTTTCAGAAATGCTGGCTTTTCCACTCATCAGGAAAGACAGGCAAGGGAGAACAGGGTTCTCAATGCTTGGATGAGATGGTGGTGCCAGAATGAGGGGTTCAAATTTATTAGAAATTAGCATACATTCCGGGACATGTCAGCTCTGTACATAAGGGATGGGCTCTACTTGAATAGGCCTCTGATGCTTACCACTAAAAAGGTTGCAGAGCAGCTTTTATACTGAATTTGGTGGGAAAGTCAACAGGAAGTCTCAGCTACTTCCTATATGAATATTCCTCTCTTAAGGATAAAGGGAAAAGCTTTGGGAGAGTGGGTCCCAGAGGAAATAAATCTATCCATAATGATCAGTACATGGCAGGAAAGTAAAACTGGACCAAGGGAACAATAGGTGGTGCTAGCAGAAGGTATTGGAGGAAAGGAATTATGTATGGATGTCTATATGCTAATACTAATGATCTGAGCAAAAATGGGAAAATGGGCATATTTGTTAGGAATGAAGAGCACAGAATACAGACATAATAGGAATAACAGAAAACCAGGGGGATACTATGATTTCTAGGTACAAGCTACAGAAAGGACAGGGATGAGCCTACAGGGTAGCGCTCTATGTTACAGAGGAGAGAAATCCAACCAAATGGAAGGTATGGAAGAACAGGCAACCAACAAGATTGGAGGGCAGGATGCAACCGTTGAGTTTTCTTAGCTTAGATGGAAGATGTTTAGGAGGCAATCTGAATGAGTTTTGTAAGATTACTAGACAACCCATGACCCACTGAGTCATTGTTTCAAAAATATTGTTTCAAATATATTTCCTTATCTAATCAGAGAAACAGAATGACCAAGGGCAAAAAAGCAGTGGGAGTGGGAGTGACTTGCAATTTGTAACTTGCTGCGAGTTTCCCCATTGACTTTGCTTGTGGGAAGCTGGCAGGGGGCATCAGAAATCTTCCTTCCTTCCCTCCCTCCCTCCCTCCCCCTCCCCTCAACAATATGAGTTGCTCCGATTTCCTATTTGTGGGCTTCCTAGATGCATCTGGTAGGCTACTGTGGCCTGGACCTGCTTGAATGGGGCTACGTCACATTTTCATCAATGAAGTTTTATGGTTCATTCATATGGTAAGGGTTGTGTCAAGAGAAGGGGGAAGATATTGTCCCCA